ACATCACATGTCAGATTTGCCAACATTTCCACATCATATTTTGTTTTATTGGCGATTCGGACACACAACCAGCACACAACATGTACAGCACAGGGTCAAACTGTCCACATGTTTGTATACTGGAGCACTTTGACTGCAGATATTTGTCTCCCTCCTGCTTTGTGCAGCATTTCTGAGCCAGAGCCGTCAAGCTTTAGCCGTTCCACATGGCTGACTCTGGGAAATGCTGCTTGGCCTACAGCTGACCAGCACATATCCTGTAGAGCCCACAAAGACTTCACAACAAAATACTAGGAAAGGTTTCTACTGCTGGAACAATCATTTTTCATTACGCTTTTGATTTATAGCAAACCAAAAGATTGTTGCTGGTTCTAACAAGATGCTGGAAAAATGACACTGTGAACCATTATGTCTCGAGAGAGTCAGAAACAAAGAGCTAAAGCAGGTTTTCAGCTGAGAGGTAAATGGAAAGACTGGCGAGTTAAAGGGATTTAAAGTCATGCAAATCAAGATGTGCAAATAATAACCATGGAATACCTTTAGAACAGTAATAACATCCATTGTTTTGTTCAGCATGTTCACGTTTGGTGCTCGTTATAAAGAACTCAAAGCATAACGTGTCAGACATTCACTTGGTATAATTTGCAAGTCAATAACTTGAATACTAACCCGCAGCTGGTCTCCAGCAGACTGTCCCCGACCTGCAGAGACGCCATGCCAAAGTCTGCTATCCTGATGTTGTTCTTCTCATCTAACAACAAGTTCTCGGGCTTCAAATCTCTGTGGCTGCCAGACAACAGCAAAGACAGAGATGACAGACATGAGTCTACTCGTGATACATTTTCTTGGTGGTGGCTTTTCAAGGGACTTGAATTGGTTATATGACTCTGTTCAACAGGACAAACATCACAGCAGGAAATAATAAGTGAGACAATCTGAGCCCAGCTGGAGCCATGACTCTACATGCACATGGGCCTTATATTTTCAGCTGCAACCCTGGTGGTGCTAAACAGTCTGAGGGCAAGTAAAGAAACACATAATTGAACCTGGAGCGTAGGCTGGTTTCTAACCTTTATTCAAGGTCTTATTGTCTGCACGCTGAGGTCCACAGGATCCTTCAGGAATGGTGACATTACAAAGTACTGTTGGAAAATGACTCTTCAGTTGCTCTGTGACCTCAGTGAACACGTTACTTATAGAGAGTC